GCCCATGCCCCCTCCCCGTGAGGCCCCGCAGGACGGCGGCCGCGCCCACCCCAGCCCGGAGCCCCACACGCCCCGGAGCTCATCCCTGGTGACTAGCGGGGACCCCCACGCCCACCAGGGAAACCCTCTCCCTCGGCCTCCTCACCAGGTAAACGGGAAAGGAGAGGAGAGGTGCTCAGCACCAGGACGTGAGCTGGAACCGGGTGGCGGGAAGGACACGGGGAGCCCGTGTGCAGAAAACGGGGAGACGCTGAGCTGAGAAACGCTGGGCGGGCGGCCGCGGCTCCGTTACCTGTGAAAGCGAAGGGCGGCTCCATCTTCTGCCACTTCCCGCTGCCCTGGGGCTTCCCGTGACTGTCCGTCTCCTCCACGGCGATGATCTCCGCCACGGGCACCGAGCAGGCGCCTGCAACGACACCGGCCGCGTGTCAGAGCGACTCACCCAGCGCACGGACACAGGAGGCCCGGCTCCACGGGGCGGGACCCACTGCTCCCCTATTCTTTTTAAAAATATATACACACGTTTTAATTGGTTTCAGAGAGGAAGAGAAAGGGGGAGACAGAAACATCAGTGATGAGAGAGAACCATGATCGGCTGCCCCCTGCACGCCCCACACTGGGGATCGAGCCCGCCACCCGGGCCTGTGCCCTGACGGGAATCGAACCGTAACCTCCTGGTTCACAGGTCAACCCTCAACCACTGAGCCGCACCAGCTGGCTGCTTTCACGTCTTCAGAAACCCAAAGGCCAGAGGAAAAGCCACGTGTAATTTAAACTCAGAGCCCAGGAAGTTCGGGGAACTCGGCGTCACCAGGAGACGGCGCGTTTCATCCAACAGAGTCACCAAAAGCGGGGGGAGACTCCCAGACCCGCCCAGACCCTCAAGCTGCAGGGGCTGCCGTCCGGCCCGCCCTCTGGGGAGACGGTGGAGAACCCGGGGGAGTCCGTCCTCAGTGGCTCAGAAACCCCGTGGGGCCGAGGCACACAGCACAGCATGACCCGGCCGGAGCCGGAGCCGGGGCCACGCGGTGGCGGAGAAGGGGGTTGGTCCCATCAGCGTCGGCGGGAGGCGGGGAGACTTGGCTGGACCGAGGCGGTGAGAGCCCCAGCCCTTCTATCCTCTGGGAAGCCCCGGAGGAGGCGGCCCGAGCTGTGTGGGCAGTTTGACAGCTGTGATCACAGGACGGCAGACGCCTCCAGGTGAGGCCCGGGTGAGGCCCAGGGAGGCCCAATGAGGCCCAGGTGAGGCAGCCCGAGGAGGGCTCCCCGCCAGAACCCCGAGGTCACACAGGATGCAGACTCCCCTCAGGTCAGGCCACAGGGACAGCAGCGAGGCCACCCTGTGCCCTGAGGACGGACAACTCGCCCTCACGGGCCACCTGCACGTGCTGGCGAGGCCCCCGTGGTCCCTGCCGTGTGCACCCAGCTCTCGCAAACCGGGACCACGGATTAGTGGGCGCGTGGGAGATGCCAGCGGTGGGCGCGTGGGCACCGCCATTTCCCCCCAGCACCGCGGTTGCCTGCAGTTTGCACAACCTTCACTGCCCGAGGCTGGATAAGAAAGGGAAGGCCAGTGGGCGAGCGGCGAGGAGAGGAGAGGCCACAGCGCCGCCTGGAAGGTTCCCTCCCAGACCAGACTGACCCTTAGGGAGGCCAAGGCGATGCCAGCAGCAAGCAGGACAGAACGCCCTCCAGGCAGACGGGTCCCGGGCACGGCTGTCCGTCAGTCCCGGGCACGGCTGTCAGTCAGTCCCGGGCACGGGCTGTCCGTCAGTCCCCCTGTGTGAGCCTCAGAGGCCGGGGCTGGGGACCGACTGCGTCCTACTCCCCCCTCGCCGCCGGCTATGAAAGGCCCGTGGGGGCTAGAGACACAACCCCACATCCACATCCTTGACGGGGCGAGCTCCAGGGTCTCGCTGTCCCAGATCTAGAACATGCTACCATGAGCCCCAAAGGCCCATCTCTGAAGTGGGGGTGACACTAGGATCATCCAAGGTGAGGCGAGGACTCCAGGCAGCACAGAGCGCTGCAGCACGGGCATCAGCATAAACAGACGCAGCACGAAGACCCCAGCTCCCGTGGGGGGATGTGGCGGGGAAGGGGGGGGCGGACCACTCACCCCTCCGCTGATCGGATATTAACCGAGGGCTCTAGCAGCAAACAGCAGAGGCCGGGCCAGAGCAGCCGAGGGGGAGGCGCAGGGTGGAGCGGGAGTCCCCGAATTTCCCTTCCCTCCTCTCTCCAGCTGTGACCACAGGGCGGCCTGCGATCCCGAACAGCAGGTGGAGGCAGACAACAGCACCCGGGGAACCCAGACCAGAGGGCGGCCGGAGGGGCCACAGCGCGGCCGGAGGGACCAATAGGGTCACAGCACGGCCTGTGGGGCCACAGTGCGGCCGGCGGACCTTGACTGTGTGCACCGACTCGCCCCTGGCCGCCCCGTGCAGAACAGCAGGGAGCACAGAGGGGCCCTGGGAGCTGCACTGCCACCTGAGCCAGCACCCAGGTCCTGGGGCGGCCCGCCGTGGGGGAAGATGAGGCAATGTGGGGCGACCCGCACTTGTCCCAGGGCCCCTCCAACCATCGGAGACCAACCTGCCACCTGGGCCCTGTGGACGGGAGGGGCCACGTGCTGACCTGTCAGCTCAGGGGCGGCCTGCGTGGCGGTCCTGCAGACTCAGAGACCTAAGGTCACCACAGGGATGGTCTGACATTAAACTGTAACTAAAGCAGCGATGGTGGGTGGTCACCTCCGAGGCCGGTATCTTCCCTGAAAAGGATGCCTTTACCTTCCTGAGCCAGTCTGTCCTTTTGCATCTATGAGAACACACCCTTGACATGTCTGGGTGACTTGTAACTTCCCTTTTTCTGGACCCCTCAGGGCACAGCCTAATGTGCTGGGCGCGAGGACAGAGACCACAGATTCCTTCATTATCATGTTAATTGTTCCTGCACCCACCTAAGCATGTGTCCGTCATTTCACTTTTTATCCAATCCCGGGGGTTTCCCCACTTGGCTTGCTCCCGCCCCTCTAGTCTATCACCAATAGATTTCATGAGACCCACCTACGCCCCTCCTTCGATTAAAATGTATAAATACGATGTAACCCCCGTTCTCCGGAGCATCATCTCAATTTGTTGAGGTTCTGCCTCCCGGCATTTGTCAACAGTTTGGCTCAAATAAACTCACAACAATTCTTTACAGGTTTCCAAGGTTTTATGTTAACAACACCTAGGCCGCAGTTGTGTTTCAGCTCCAGGCCCAGAAAAGCAGTAAAACCAGACCAGCGACAGGACTAGCCCGGCCGGCACGGCACCAGGTGTCTGACCTGCCTGAGTTCTGGCTGAGAAAAAATTCAGAGCCGAGACTCAAGCTGGAAGGGTTCCTGGGCGAGCAGAGAGAAAGGACCCCTGAGGAGAGATTTCGGGGCGTGGGCGGGGCTCCTAACCCCTCGGAGGGGTGACTGCTTTCTCCTGCACACTGACCCACGGGTCTCTGGACCTGCTGGGGTTGGACCCCAGCACAGTCCCAAGGGTTTCCCCGCTTTGCTTGCTCCTGCCTCTGCTCTATCACCAGTGGGTTCCCTGTAGCCCACCTGCGTCCCTCCTTTGATTGCAACGTTTAAATACAGGTGTAACCGCCGTTCTCCGGAGCATCATCCCAATCCGCTGAGCTTCTGCTTCCCGGCAGTTGTCGACAGTTTGGCTCAAATAAACTCACAAAATGCGTTACAGGTTTGAGTGGCTGTACGGTGACACACGTTGACACCAGGAACCTACCACCTCTGGGTGTAGGG